CGATCGCTGTGAAAATTTTTAATTGTAAATAAAAAAGTCTAGTGACAATTTGTTGAAAAACTACGTAAAGCGGTGAATTGCAATTTGGCGGTCAAGAACGTAATATGTGCAATGCAATTAAATGCCAGTAAAGTGGGTAAAAAAGAAAAATAAAAATGTGATTTATGATGGGCAATTAGGAAAAACGCAAAAGGACCGAAAGCTTGAAAACGAAGAAAGGAAAAAATTTGTTTTAAAAGGGAATGAGGAATGTAAGAAGGGTTGAACGAATATGTCCAAAGCAGTCGAAAAGAGGCGCTAATAAAGCGATTGCGGTGAAGCGAATAAGAATAGAAAAAGAAAATTAAGTAAACGGCGTGCAAAATGCAATGAAGAAAGCGAAAAATGACTGAGGGCGCGAAAAGTAAAAAGTGAGAAATGTGAAAATTAGCAACGGGTTGCCAAAGCAATTTTTTTTTTACTTAGTAGTATCCAAAATGTATTCAACAAAGTGTGATTGAATTTGACATTGCTCTCAGAAGAACATCCTATAAAGACAAATTAAAAAAAATTTTTAAGGGTTTTGAATCGATTGGTTTTATTTTTTGGCATAATAGTACCTTAAAAGAGTGCCTACCTGAGTTGTCAGTCACTCATTGTTTATTACACCTTGGTTGTATCTGTTTCACTGGTTTTTAAAAACAAAAAGTACATTAGTATAAAAGGAATTGAAAGAAATAACAAGTTTATTCTCAGTGCAGCTGTGCATTAATAATATAAGTTTAGAATACAAACCTTAGCACCCTCTTAATAAAGTATTCAATCTAAATCCATGTAAGGTGATAAGTAGAGTTATGGTCTTATTATGGCAACTTAACGTAACTTACGGCTCTGTTAAAAATTCTGTTAAATGGGTGTTGCTTATAATTGAACAGCCGAAACTTAACGTAACTTAATGCCTCGTCGAAATCTGTTTCATTTTGATTCTCTAAGTTCTACATTCCGTTAAATTAAGTTAAGTTGCCATAATCAGGCTTTTATGCTGCAGTGCAGCCTGGGGCATCTCCGCATTTCTTCAAGGTGGAACCCTGTTTTAGTACACAGACGACTTGAAGACCCCAGACGCATAGGGGGCGGAATCTTCGGATTTCCGCATCTTTTAAAGCGGAAGGTTTACGTTATCTACCTTTGTGTGGTTAATCGTTATATAGGGTACTGTGAGATCATAATTCTGACAGCCATGAAATCAATTCATGCTTGATAATTGAGTACATTGAGAAGCTCAAATTCCTTGACAAACACAACATCCAGATAGCGTGGGGACCTGGTCATAAGGGAATTGAGGGTAACGAGGCGGCGAACTATCTCGCGAGAGATGCGGTAGCTAGTTTGCTAAGTAAGCCGCTACAACAACAACGAAGTCCAGAGGTTCATAAAGCATACCGACTGGCTATAAACGGCATTCACAGAGTCAGAATTGACCTAAACTGACTATCGACCTATAAATGCAGTTTTGGGAACACAACCACCTGACGTGGACGAAACCCAGGTTAATTTGCTTCGCTTCTGCAGCAGGTTCAACTTTTATCTGAGCAGATTAGATGCAGATGGGCCCAACGAACGCCTGGCATGCGGAGAGACACCCCACGACTCGATACATCTCTTTGCATGCCCCCTAAAGGCCGCTTAGATAACACCTCTGTCCCATTGGACAAACCAATCGAAGTTGCACGCTTTCGCATTTTGACAGCAAAGTGCGTATAAAAAGCGCTTGTATTGCCACGTTTCATCGCACTTTAAGTAAGGCAAAACGAAATAACGAACTCGATGTAAAAGCGTACAAATTTCCAAAATTATTTTAGGGAAGTGACTTATTTTTGCTAAAATGACCGTTGTTTTTAGAATAAAACAATATATATTACCTTCAGTATTTATAAAAGGCTTACATAAGAATGGCATTTATTTTATAAGCAAAAAATTTTGCTTAAATAATTTAGCCATTTTTAAACGTAAACCCTTAGTACTTGAAAATGCAAACCTGTGTTCTGCGAAAAGGACCAAGAAAAATTTGAAAAGCGAACATAAAACGAAGACGCAATCTCGTTGAGGGGGCGCAGTGCAAATTTCAACAGAACAATGCAAAGAGGACGGAAAAAACGCAGTGAAAAGTAAAGCGGACGGAAAATTTTCAATTCTCCAAAAACTGCTCATTTAAAAATAAGCTATAAAAGTGATAAGTGTAGTAAATGCAAATAAATGAAAAATTACGTTGTGAATTAATGAAGATTTAAGAGTTTTTTAAATTGTGTATGAAATGTAATTTGCTACAAAATTTCCCACACGCGCACACAATCAAACGCACACACGCGCGGAGACCGCACAAAATCTCAAACAAAAAGGAAATCAATAAACGCAGAAGCGGACCGTAGTAGTAGAAGCACAAGTGGAAGTGGAATTTAAGAATAACCAAGAGCAAACGGCGAAGGTGAATAGAGTGCGCGAAAGTCGGAAAGAAAAAACGAAACGTAATAAAATGATGTGAAAATGCGGGACATTAAAAAATTTCAGCGTGGAGGCTGAGAGCTATTAGAAACTCTTCACTGATTAACGAGAAAATTAAGAGACGCACTAAAGGACCTTAATGAGTGTGTGGTTGGTGACTGTGATAGCACTTGGCAGTAATATTTGCAAAATAATTAACTATAAAAATCAAACTTCGTTTTCAATAGAAAGCGCAGCAATTATAAAGTACAATTTGACAAAGGAATGGAAATGGCCAGTAGTGCCGCAAATGGGTCCGGCAGCACAACTTCTCGTAGTGGTGTCGTGGGCAATACTTTGCCTTCTCTCTTTGTCAGTGATCATAACGGCGGCGGCTCATTGGTTAGTGGAAAGGACTTGGATGGTTTAATAGCTATGAACGATAGCGCTCTTTCGCAACAAATCGAATTTATATTGCAAGAAGCTCCCATGGAGCATGACGAAGATGATGTTCACGATCATATGGGGGATGATGGTGCTGCGACGATAGAAACCACTAATAGCCGCAATACGAACCCTACCATTAAAATACAAAACCCACCGAATATAATAGTAACAAGCGCTTCCGATTTTCCAAGAGCCCATGTAGTCAGCAACGCTGCTGCGACTATTGCGTCAGCACAAACAATGGCGCAACATCATCTTCTGAATGGCCGTCGTATTATAATACAAACAACGCAGGCTCCAAATATGGTTAAAGAAGAAGAAGCGGATCCCGAGTTAAATGATGAAAATTTGCAAGACATTGAAGAAGAGGAGCAAGCATCTGAAGCTGAAGATAATCAATTGCAACTCCAACATACTGATATTAAAATGGAGCAAGAAGAAAATGTCGAACAAGAGTTTATTAGGACTGGTATAAATTATATAAGTACACCTACAATCACGGCACACCATTCACAACTAACTGGCGGGCAGACACAGCAAATAGTATTGCCGGCCGGCTCAATAGTAGGTACAACAACAGGTCGCACTCTAACGGTGCCAGTCTCGGAGGCATTGGCTCATTTGCAACGCCGGCCTGTATATATCAGTAATGCTATGGGCGGTATGACCGGTGCAACATTTGTGCGCATGCCGGCTGTAATAAGTCGCAGTCCAATGACTGTTTTGAATGTGGTGCAACAAGGTGTACCGGGCAGTGGTCCTACACAGCTCATTTTGCAGGCAACTCCTGTTTCTACCACTGGAACACCAATGACAGTGGTGACATCTAGTACATCAGCGCCGGCAACGGTGCCATCAATTCCAACAGCTACAGCTGGAAGCGCAGAAGTAGCTGTAGCCACACCACCGCCCGCAATAATGCCGGCGTTAACACCAGTCTCAACACAATCTTCATCTCCCTCAACATCATCGTCATCACCATTATCATCTTCTGGCCATTTAGCGTCTTCCACAGTGGTAGCTAAAAATACTGCTGCTGCTGCGTCATCAGCAGTTAAAAGTAATGCTTCCCACTCGACGTCAAATGGTAGTGGGAATAAAAACACGACCACCAACAACAATCCATTAACCTATCAATGTCTTGAGTGTGTAGAAGAATTTGAGTCCAAGGAACTATTTGACATTCACCGATCGGGTCACGCAAACAATATGAAATGTGCTATATGCAATATGGTTCTAAAGTCGCTCAAAAACTATGAGAAACATTGTCTGCGCTGCAAGCCGTACGAATGTCAGATATGTGGACGTGTTGTACGTTTTAGGCCCAATTTCATCAAACACATGCGTGTACATACGGGTCAGCAGTCCGAACGCCACAAATATAAATGCGATGTGTGTCACAAAGAATTTATGAGTTTCGAGTATTTTAAAGTGCACAAAAAGATTCACAATGAAAATGTGAATTTAACATGCGAGATTTGTGGAAAAGTATTTAGCGCTTTGGCGTCACTGCGTGGCCACTCCAAATTACATTCAGGCGTTAAATTGCACAAGTGAGTAACGACGAAAATGATTTCCTATAGCTTTCTTTAATTTTAATAATATCTATTTGATTTCATATTTCAGATGCGACGTCTGTGGCAAAGGCTTTGGACAGCGTTACAATTTGAAGATACACGCTCGCACCCACACCGGTGATTTTCCGTTCGAATGTAAAGTGTGTAAGAAAAAGTTGCATACACAGTCCTCCTTACAGACACATATGCAAGTGCATCAGCGTGATCAGACCTCACAAGTTTCAAATACAATAAAATATGATAAAAACGCGGCCAACAATGCAACGGCAGCGTCATCGTCCACGAATGCCACTATTGTCAAAGTTGAACCCAAATCGAGCGATGATGGACCGAGTACCAGTGGAATGCAGCGCCATTTGCAAAAACAATTGCTTGAAGATTTGGACGATGACAACTCGGGAATGAGCGATAGCATACAGGGTGTTGCTGACGGCAATAACAGTCGTATTGTTTCGACTTCTTCACTGGCTTCTGCCAGTCACAACTTGCAGACAACAACCGTTGAGGACTCTTCGAATGAATCATCGGATGCATCGCATGAACTAAAGCAACAACAATTGCAGCAACAACCACTTTTGGTGACACCCACCCGTACCATTGTAATCAAGAATTACATGCAGAACGAACAAAACGTTGGACTGTCACAACCACAGTCGCAGCATCAAACTCACGTAATACAGAGCAGTAATACAAGCTGCAATAGTAATACATTGCAACAACAATTGTTGCGAAAGACGCCAATAATACATTCTACAGGTGGCGCGGGCACACTCTCCTCTGCTTTGGCGAGCGTGGTGCAACAAGTCGGTAAGATTCAACTTTTTATAGCAAATACTTTTGAAAACTCGAAATAATACGCCTATGAAGATGTCGATACTTAAAGGCGAAAAATTCGTGGGAAAGTTTTTCACACATTGATTTCTGAACATCATCTCTTTTATGCATAGCACATTTTTCATCGGTCATTATTAATGCCCATATTTTAAATGTTTTTTTTTGCAGGCCCCTCTCCCTCGCCAACGCCTTCATCTTCGTCGACATCATGTTCCTCGTCAGTGGTAGTATCCAAATCTGGGGCACCGCTCTCGCTCGCATCTGCCGCTATTGGCACTTCGACTATACGAAGCACGCGCAACCATCAGTCTCAATTCAATTCATCGATTTCTTCATCGAGCAGCCACCACCGTGCGTTACAGCGCAATAATAACCACCGAAATCACCAGAATAGCCACCGACGTCGACATCCGGCGCATTTGGACGATGATGACGATGACGACATGGACGATTTTGTCGATTCGGCTCGTTCTCATCATCGATCATTGCGTGTGAATGGTCAGCATTTTGACGATGACGACGACGATGAGAAATCCTCCCCGTCCTTGGCCACAACAGCCATTATCAAAGTTGAACCGAATCTGTATTCTTCAGGTTCGGGTGACAATTCGAATGAAATGCTCATCAAAGAAGAGGTAATGTTTGAGGATTCCGCAGCGCCTCATTCGCCACACTCGCCGCCAAGTTCGAAATTCCGCATGTCGAACTTTGACAGCGACTTGGTTGATCATCATGTCGATTTAAATCACTCGCTGCCGCCATATGGAAATCTATTTGATCCGCATTCCATACCCGACACCATTCCTGTGCAATTGTATCCGGACGATGATGATGATTTTCGCCTTGACCACAGCTCATTGGGACCCTTGCACCAGACATCATCGTCCACTACCGATGGAGATTTTATTAAAAAGGAATGGGTCTATGGCGCTGGGTCCAGTTACACAATGAATGGAAAATTCGGTGACGATAGCGATGCACTTTGTGATTCGGCGAATTTCATTTACGACTGAGCAGTAGCGCCGCACATGGTGGTCTGATCAACGTGATGATGGAAATCGAAGAATCGAACAGGGGACTTAAAATCGAAATTTATACACATACATACGAGTACGAGTGCCGACCAGCGCAAGCAATTATCGAGTTGCGTACAACAAATGCCAATATTAGCAAGTATTTTTTGTCTGTATTGTTAAACGAAATTAAGCTAGAAACTCTTTAAGAAGTTTACAACATTCAAATAATGGTAAATTTTGTTATTTTAGTGTTAGTACACTAAAGAAATTATGGATGCGATATTTGAAAAGAAAGTTGAATAAGTAAATGCGCGCAATGTAGGCAATACAATCAATAGATTAATATCAAAATATTAGAGTAGTGAGTGTATATATGTATTTGCTGATTAGCGCGATCTTGACTGAGCGACCAGAACAGCTGCTGCAGAAGGTAGCTTCTTCCATGACACTCAATTCACAATATCTTTAACACTAACTGCTATCTCTATTACCCTCTGTTTTATTTCTTTTGGCAAGCACAAATGAGTTTAATTATAGTAATAATATGAAACCATAAATATAACATTGATGTAGCTGTTAAGTGAACAAGTAATTAATGATGCTCTAAAATAGTTTAAATGTATATAATTATTGCATCGTTAAATTATTCTTGCTTGATTTAATATTTTTTTTAAATTTCATTTTAAGTTCATTGATTTCACTTTATGTGTGTTGTGAGTAATACTCAGTGTAAGTGCATAAATTAACTAAAAAAACGACTATTTTTTGAAAAAATAATACGAGTTTATCGATGTTTTTGAAATTTCTTCTCTTAGTCTAGGTTGTTGCCCAATGAATGCATGCGTCCTAAAGGGAAACCAAGTTCGAACAAAATTTTTAACATTTTTAATATTTCTAGTGTTTGTGTGTGCATCGAGCAAATGTACCGAAGAGTCCCAGTGTGATTTCAGTTTCAATATGGCCATTGTTAGTGTGCGAAAGTTGCGTCAACTTTTCCCCAATAGTGCGCTACAACGGCTATTTCTGCATTATTCAAATAATTTGAGGCTTAAAAGTGTAGCCAAGTGTGCATTAATTACCACTTTGCTTAACATAGATGAGAATGTGATTCTTTATTTTTATCTTGCGACGCATCAATGCAGATTTTGACGCCACTTCTTTAGAAAATTTTTGTGTCGGTGATAATATTCCACAGGATAGTGAAATATATGTATTTTAAAACTATACATTTATTTTTAAAAGATCTTTGTTCATTTGTTACAAGTTAGTCTTGCTGTATGGATGTTCAGATAAAGATTTATTCAACATCTTCATAGCTTTTACACTTTAACTCTTTTTACTAATAAATGACCCCAAATCATATTACGGCTGATTGGGCATAAATAATTTATATTTAGATACTAACACTTTTATGCATTTCATGATTTTAATATTATTATTATTATGCATACATACATACACCTATACCTATTGCATTGACATTTCGGAAATCCCCTAGAGGGAGTTGAATGTTGAGTATACATATATATTTTTTAAATATAAATAAGTCTTCTCATGTAGGGTTAAGGTGTGAAGATGCAGGAAATTGGAACAAAACACCATATCCATTGACTTGAAACTGCAATAAGAAGTAGTACACTAGCCAGCAAGGAGCTTCTAGCAACGAAAATTTCCGAGCAGCTATCCAAAGTTTTTCTTATTCAGAATATTTCGGTAAACATTCTTCATTCTAAATATTTTTCAAGAGAAGCAAAAAACAAAAAAAGGGTATCCAAAACCGGGAAGGGCTTTTTAAAAGTGGCATGTAACTCCGTTGTTTTTGGTACTAACACTTTAAAATTTTTATTGATGGTGTATTTTAATATATCCTACCAAAATATGTGAAGAACGCAGTTTCGAGAAAAGTGTTGGTTAAGGCCTCTATCAATTAAAATAACGTATGTATTCATGCAAAATCATGGATCTCAGAAGTTTTTCTGGAACTCTTGCAATTGCAAAAAAATCGAAGCACACATTTGCACTGGCCATTTCATTTTCAATGTAATTTGGTTTTAAAAACATATTTTCCAGTAGTTTTGCGACAACATTTGCTCAAATCTTGGATTCGATGTTTTTCTTTTTCTTTATTATTATTTTTAATGACATCTAACCTCCCTTGTTTCATCTTGCACGCCGTTGTACTCAAAATAAATAATTGTAAAATTTTTACGAAGTCTAAAAATGCTTAGTATATGTATATGTATATTGTAGTTATTGCATGAAAATAGTAAAGCAATAATAAGTAATGTGCATTACCAAAATTTAAGCAAAAAACCGCAAAATAAAACAATGAAAAGTGTTGTTATTCCTGCCCTCACACTAAACGAATTACTTAATTAGTATATATCGGAACAAAAAAAAAAAAAACAAATACAATGTTGTATGTAAAATCAAGAAATTTAGTAAAATTTTGTGAGCCAATGTATTTGTATAATACTCGTACATGCGAGTATTGAATTTGAGAAACTATTAGAATTCAAAAGTAGTGAAAATTAGTAACAAAATATACGTGAAATTGAAGAAAAAATTCCAATAATTAGCTTTAGTATTGTAGAAACTTATACGAGTGCTTATTGAATAAGTTAAAGTCAACAACGGAAATACATAGAAATTTAGTGAATAACATACTTCCATACATAGACATATTCTCTGCTGCAATGCCTTTAAGATCACACTTCCTCTTGAATTTCTACACTTACCTATACTACTTACTTGCATTAAAAAATAACAGCAATTCAAATTTTATGCGAAGAACCTACGAACTTTTTGCACCTAACATTGGTTTATATATTTTTTATTTTATTTTAATTTTCATGGGCTTTCCTTATTAGTAAGTTTGATACATTTGATATGCATGTACATATTTACATTAGGGTGCATCACCAAAAAAGTTTCCGTTTTCCACCGGAATTATAAAATTTATTATATTTTCATTCAGACTTCCGCTAAAATATTTCGAAAAAAATTGAGATTTACGCGACCTGAACCGATTTGAAAATACCTCCAAAAATCTAAGTTTTTTGATTCCGTAGATCAAATTTTTAAAAATTTTAATGCAGATCTTTTAAGCTTAAACTCTTCTATCATCTGGTGATTTTTTAAGAAGACTATTTTTAAAAACAAATTTTATTTCAAAAAATTCTATTGTTGATGGAATTTTCAAATAGGTCCAGCGCAGGCAAATCTTGATATTTTTCCGAAATATTTTCACAGAAGTCATAAAGTTTAATAAATTTTATATTTCCGATAGCAAAACCGTACCAAATTGTTTTTTGCATGGATAATATGCACTTTTGAATGTTTTCGAATAACATTTTTTAAGTTTCATTTATTCCACGCAATACCCTCTATTGGCCAGAATTACCCGTAGCCATGCCTAAACCCATTTCGCTGTATTCATTTAGCAACCACAAAAGCAAAGAACACAGTAACTCGATTGGATCAAAGAGAGAGAAGAAACATCAAAATATGGCATATGCGCATGCGCGTAATATAGAAAAATGTTTACTATTTATGTATGTATGTATGTAGAATATTTTTTTTTTTTTGCATTTCATCCTTAATTTTTGCTTTACAACCTAAAGCTAATTTTTGTACAGTGGTGGTAAAACATATTTAACTAAGTTTATGTTTCTAAAGTTCGTATTTCTGGCTTATTTGAGACATCCTGGTTCTCTAGCTTTTTTAAAGAATGATATTTAGTCCTCTCATTGCACTTTGAAATGTTCAAAAATTACTATTCGCTTAAGACGGCTCCACACTTTTACCATTGTACCGGTTAAAACATATCGTTAACTTAGAGTGAAAGACAGTGGACTACCAACTTTTCACTCTTAAGCTAGTGGTATGCAACTAATAAGTGTTTTTCGAAACTTAAGTTAAATAACTGCCGCTTTGTACTTACTTTGTAGCAAGTTTCTTCGCTTAGCTTACAAATTCGGTTACTATTTCAGTAGAATAAAATCCGGCTATTTCGGCGGGCAATAAAATATTCAATAATATTGCAATCGAATGTCCTAATATCAAGTTTTAGCCGCATATAAAAGTTTTTTTTTCAGTTCAAAGCGAAAAAGGGTCGGTCGCTGGGATCTTCTATGAAAAAGTACTCGAAGTGCAGGCAGTTTTAGACTCATTCGCCGTTATAATAAAAATCATAATTTAATCGTTAAAATTTGATCTATTTTTCCGGTCAAACTTGACCTTTATTTTTGAATTTTTATTTTTTAGATACATTTTTTATTCTTATATGTGATTTTTATTTTTCGATAAATTTTTGATCGTTATTTCTGATTTTTATTTATCTATCTATTGATCATTATTTATAATAGATTTCAATTGGTAATAAAACCGCAATCTCCATTTAACCGTGAAAATTATCGAAAAAAATAAAAATCACAAAATAAATGTCAAAACAAAAAAAAATGCAAATTTAACGATTATTCTTGATCGAGAAAATAAAACGTATGATATAAAAATTAAAATCTTGATATTGACGGTTACTTTCGGACACTGATAAAAAACATATTTTCCAAAAAAAAAACATCTCTTCGGACCTTTAACAGACGTTATAGTACATGCGTACTGCAATTATGTATCTATTTGCCTTTTCATAATTTAAGTTTTCTTGTAATATTTTTTTTCTCTCATTTCGATTTACCTATCTATATATAAATTGTTCACACCTATACCAAAGATACGAATTGTTCGTAAATATTACTTTTTAACTACACATACGTACATACATTTTCTTACCTTTTATTTAAAATATTTTTTCGCTTTTCTACGTTTGTTTATATGAATTTTACTGTACTA